ATTTGATCTCTGGTTCCTCTGCCTTTTCTAAAACCAGCTTGAACATCTGGAAGTTCACGGTTCACATATTGCTGAAGCCTGGCTTGGAGAATTTTGAGCATTACTTTACTAGCGTGTGAGATGAGTGCAATTGTGCGGTAGTTTGAGCATTCTTTGGGATTGCCTTTCTTAGGGATTGGAATGAAAACGGACCTTTTCAAATCCTGTGGCCACTGCTGCGTTTTCCAAATTTGCTGACATACTGAGTGCAGCACTTTCACAGCATCATCTTTCAGGATGTGAAATAGCTCAACTGAAATTCCATCACATCCACTAGCTTTGTTCGTAATGATGCTTTCTAAGGCCCACCTGACTTCACATTCCAGGATGTCTGGCTCTAGGTGAGTGATCACACCATTGTGATTATCTGGGTCATGAAGATCTTTTTTGTACAGTTCTTCTGTGTATTCTTGCCACCTCTTCTTAATATCTTCTGCTTCTGTTAGGTCCATACCATTTCTGTCCTCTATTGAACCCATCTTTGCATGAAATGTTCCCTTGGTATCTCTAATTTTCTTGAAGAGATCTCTAGTCTTTCCCATTCTAGTCATTCCCATTAGAGTTAGACACTAATTGCCCTTTAGTTCCAGATTGTCTTTTCAAGGATATTTGTCCATGAAGCAGTCTAGGGATAGTGTCTATCTTCAAAATAAAGGGTCAGCTTGTTTACTGTCCAGATAAAAAAGATAATGTACTTCTCTAGGGCAAATGTTGAGCAGGTTTGCTTGCAGCCTTTTATGAAAGATTGTGTGTGTGCATTCAGTCATGTCTGACTCTTTGCGACCCCACGCACTGTAGCCCACTGGGCTCCTCTGTCCATGGGATTCTCCAGGCAAGAATACTTGAACAGGTTGCCACGTCTTCCTCCAAGGGATCTTCCCAACCCAGGGATAGAGCCTTTGTCTCTTTTATCTCCTGCATGGCTGGCAGATTCTTTACCACTAGCGCCACCTGGGAAGCCCTTATAAAAGATTGATGTTCCCTAAACTTGGGGTTCCTCAGCAGCCATACAAATCCATTGCCTGTACCTCTTTGTACCTTATCCACTGCTGACCTTTTGTCATAACCCTCGTGGGACTTAAGGGACAAGAGGAGCCAATGCAAACATGAAGCTTATGCAGTTTGCTGTACTGTGATTCATAGAATTCTTTGTCTCTGTCTTAGGAGTCTTAAATATTTTGCCAGCATCCAATGAAACTACGACAAGGGAAACTTTTAGCTTGTAAGTGTGGTACATGAATGTTCACAGTAGCATTATTTATACTAGTCAAGGTGTAGAAACAATCCAAATGTCTAGCAACTGATGAAAGGATAAACAAAATGAAGTGTATCCATATGATGGAAAGTTACTCAGCCATAAAAATGGAATGAAATACTAACACATACTACAACATGGATGAATCTTGAAAACATTATGTAAGTGAAGAGCTAGTCACAAGAGACCACACATTGTACGATTCCACTAATGTTAAATGCCCAGAATAGGAAACCTATAGAGATAAAAAGTGGATTAGTTGTTGCCAGGGGCTTGAGGGAGTGCACAGCAATTGCTAACGGGTATGGAGTCTCTTCTAGGGGTGATGAAAATGTTTTATATTTAATTTGTGTTGATGGTTGCACAAATCTGTGAATATATTGAAACCACTAAATTCATCCATTTAAAATACTCAATTGTACCCACTCCAGTATTCTTGCCTGGAGAATTCCATGAACAGAGGAGACTGACAGGCTATGGTCCATGGAGTCGCAAAGAGTTGGACACAACTGAACAAATTTCACACACACACAACGATGTTTTAAAAAGAAGATAAGGTTGGAAAACTGTACTTGTCTATATAAGTACTTCACTTTAAGAAAATCTGAATCACAGAAATGAGTTAGGAACAATAACCTAGGCAGGGACTGGACTTGCCACAGGGCCCTGAAAATGTTAATATTAACTAACATTTTTAGGCTACTTTACATTTTGAAAGTATAATGTTAACAAGATCATAGTATAACAAAGAATACCTATTTCTGTACATTTGAGTTCTTACAACCTGCATGCATGTATGAACATGTCTATACGTAGGTACATATATGCATATGTCTCATCATTATTAAAGATGATTCTAAATGAGCTAGTTGCCAGATGACCTCTTAGCCTCTACACGAGTTAGCTATGTAGCTGCAGTTGTTGGTCACAAAGTCCAAGTTCCTATTTCTGGGTCAACCTCTCCATCATACAATCAGGTGACCAATTTGGTCCCAAGAACCCTCATCAATGTTTTTCAAAGTTTGGTCAGCTGCAGATGGAATCAATTTCCTGGAGCCATGACGCAAAATCCAGTTATGGGCCTGGGACTCTGCTATTTTTGGCTACGTCTCACAGCTTTCATAATTTCAGTTTCTTGACCAGGGACTGAACCTGGGCCATGGCAGTGAAAGCACCAAATCCTAACCACTGGACCACCAGGCAACTCTTAAGGTATCTGTTATTTTAACAAGCTCCTCAAGTGATGTAATCTACACTTAATTTCGGGAACCCCAGCTCTGGGCACCTATTGCTGACTGTTGTGAAGAAGCTGAGTCTGTCTGATTTCACAGGTCTGTTCACATTCTTCCCAATAACCAGGGTAAGAGTAGCATGCCTCCCTACTGTTAACCACAATGGACATCACTGAGCCTGGTGCTGGTTTTTGCAGGCACAGTCTACTTGTGAGACTGCCTGATATTTCCATTCTATACCTGTTTTCTGCCTGCTAGAGGCCCTGAAGTCTCATCATAAGCTGCAGAAGCAGGAGACAACTCATAGGTTGCTTTGCTCCTAAGCCTCACAATACTGGACCCACACTGAAGCCTTGGATCCTGGATTCTAGGCTCAGTTCTGTACTCCAACCCACATTTGATGGGGGAAGATGGGGAAGCCTATTAGCTCAATAACTTCCCCAGGTTGATGGAAGTGCAAATGGTTTCCCAGTTCCTATACCTGAATGAGATGTGAAATTCAGCATTTATGAGCTCGTTTGTCAGTGGGTCTACCTGACCCTAGAACTGACAGCAGAGTCAGGCTAACTCACCTGTTCATTTCCTCCAGACACATCCATTATGGCTCCTGCCAACATCTTTTGGAAATACCTGGTTAAAATCCTTCAGTGGCTCCCCATTCCTTTTAGGGCCTAGACCACAACTCCTTCCATGATCTACTGTCCTTGGTGATCTTTGTATCCTTATCTCCTCCACTGTTCCCCTACTCTAGGATTTGTCATACAGATCTTGCAGTTCTCTCACCAGTTCAGGGTCTCCTGCGGTGCCCTACTTCTTTTCCGTGTAGTTAACTCCTGTAAATTCCTCAGATCTCCGGTATCATTTCCCTGACCCCCAAGTCTGCATCAGGTCTCTTGCTTATTCATGCTCCTGGCACTCCTGGCACTTTTATTAAACTTTGTCAACGCTGAAAACTTTCCCTTGAGCAATTATTAAGTATTCACTAATAATGTCTATCTCGCCCAGCAGACTAAAGTTCACTAGAGGAGCGCATTCGTTTGCTCTCATACCATCCCAGCACCCAGCAAAGGGTCTGGCAAGCACTCAGCTGGATCGCTGGCAGGTTCCAGGAAAGCAGGCCACAGGGTGGGTGGAGTGTCAAGGCCTCTGGGAATGGATAAAAGTAGACCCTGAGCAGCTCCACCTGTAAGTCCTCCGAATTGTGGGCAACGGTCCCGCCGGCCAGGTGCTCGGGGAGTTCCCAGGTCAAGGACACAGTAAGAGCCCTGACTGACATCCAGCTGCTGAATGGGAGAGGGCCGTCCTTGCTCTGTGCTTGGGAAGGCCTCCGTTTCCCTACTGGTTTCCCCCCCGGGTCCAGTGAGAACTGCTCCTGAGGCCCTGAGGTAGAGCCACTCCAGAGGCGCCGGCTGCAGCTCTGAGGAGCCGGCTCGGGCTGGGTGAGGCCGCCACGCCCGCCGAGGGCGCTCCAGACCAATCCTCCTGCGCAGTCGCGCGCCGCCCGTGCTCCTCTAGCCGCAGAGAGGTGGCGCAGTGCACGTCGGGAAGGCGGTGGGCGGGTCCAGCCTTTAGCGGTGGAGGGCGCCATGGTGGGTGGCGAGGCGGCCGCTGCCGTGGAGGAGCTGATCTCGGGTGTGCGGCGAGCGACTGACTTCGCTGAGCAGTTCCGCTCCTACTCGGAGAGCGAGAAGCAATGGAAGGCCCGCATGGAATTCATCCTGCGCCACCTGCCCGACTATCGCGATCCACCCGACGGCGGCGGCCGCCTGGACCAGCTGCTGTCCCTCTCCATGGTCTGGGCCAACCACCTCTTCCTGGGTTGCAGGTGCGGACCGCTGCCGGCTAACTGACCCTGCCCCAACCCGCAGCCCTAACCCCATGGCTAACCCCTACCCAAGGCTGACCCCGTCCCCAGTCTCCAACTGTACTAGCCAGGCCTAAGGCAGAGTCCTACTTTAGCCTTGAAAAGATCCTTAACCTCTGAGCTTCGACTTTCTCATCTGGAAAATGAATTGTGATTATTACAGTATTAAAGGATGAAAAGCACTTAGCACAGGCTGTCATCTAGCAAGAAGAGCCCTATACATGCTAGGTGTTCGAGTTTGTATTATTTTGTAATACAAAATACAAATATTTTGTATTATTACTGTAACTACTTTAAACCATCCTCTTTCTGAGTGCATACTTTTAAGTTCATTAGCTCCTTTCTTCCACATGGCAAACGTGCAGGGACAGAAACTGAGATCCCCAGTTTATAGAAGCAGCTGAAGAGAGGGAAAGAGACTTACCTAGGACCATGCAGCTTCTGGCAGGATTGGTGGATTTTACCATATATGGCAGGATGTAGTTTGTGGCCCTTGGCTTTTTCTCTCACATCCTAGTCTGCTGGACCCAGTAGTAGCAAGGAGCAGTCTTTGCCTCTCTGCCTTTCCTTTTATGAAAATAATGCCTTCAAGGAACTGTGTTTGAAATGCTTGATATGGCACTCTACCACTCCATGAAGCGGGTGGCAAATTTTTAGGCTCCATCCTTTTATTTAGCATTTCCTGAAATTCTGTTAGGATAATGAAATGCCTTAGTTGACTTAGTTCTGGTCTCTGTGCTCCTTATGGCTGTGTCCTCCAGTCCTAAGCCACTTGGTTTTGCTTTCAGATTTGGGGAGTTACTGGAACAGGATTATTTGGGGAAGCAGTGCCTGCTGCATCCCTCCCGTTTCTCTGACTTCCAGGTGCCCCTAGTAAATTTTAGTTAACAAGATGCAAGATTAGGCAAAAGTAAGAATATTGGACAAATGAACAAGTAATGTTATTTTCATTAGATCAGTATTCCACAGGTTCCAAAAAAAAATTGGCCCTCATACCATATCCATGAATACGTACTGCCAGATGTACAGTGCCTCTATTTTTGTAAGTCTTGTTTGTTTTGTAAATCTTAAAACACCTGCTCTGTTGGCATTCCTAGTGCTGCTTCTGTAGCCATATGCGGAAGAACTATTTTCTAACTTGATGTTGAACATCTATCAGTTTCCCCAGTAGCATCAAATTGTTCCTCTGAGAGTTGAGTTTATAGTCCAGCTACCTGCAATTTCTTTTTAGCCCACAGTGACAATAATTCTTCCAAGGTTTTTATCTTACTACTTTTTTTTTTCCATTTTTTTTTAATTAGTTGGAGGCTAATTACTTTACATCATTGCAGTGGTTTTTGTCATACATTGAAATGAATTAGCCATGGATTTACATGTATTCCCCATCCCAGTCCCCCCTCCCACCTCCCTCTCCACCCGATCCCTCTGGGTCTTCCCAGTACACCAGGCCCGAGCACTTGTCTCATGCACCCGACCTAGGCTGGTGATCTGTTTCACCCTAGATAATATACATGTTTCGATGCTGTTCTCTTGAAACATCCCACCCTCTCCTTCTCCCAGAATCTTACTACTTTTTATTGTGCAGTTACAACAAAGACCTTTTAGACAAGGTGATGGAAATGGCTGATGGGATTGAAGTGGAAGACCTGCCACAGTTTACTACCAGAAGTAAATTAATGAAAAAGGTAAACGGGATTTCCAAGTGCATTTGAAATGGTATAGAGCTAATGGCCCCTGCCTTTATGGTGATGTATTAGAGTGTATTGTTTTCTGAATGTTCTTGTTTACTACCCCAGTCTAAGCCCTTTGATTTTATTCCTCTGTAACTGGTATAAACCTTTTCATAACCAGATAACAACCCAGTAGGTAAATTACACATTGTGGGTGGAGTAACATATAAATTCAACCTCTTTAGTTCCTTTAGGAACATTCTGTTTTGAGCTTTTTGCTTGAATTTTAAGAAAATGTTGGTTAGAATGCTACAGTTTCCCACTTATTAAAAAATCTTATTGATAACATTAACTTATCCTTACCCCAGTGGTTGAGGACACCACCAGACTTGTTTGGCCTCTGACTTGTTGATGGAAATGTGGATGGTGTGATATCCACACATCATAACTGTTTCCTATTCTGCCAGGCTTGGTCTGATCTGAGGCTGTGAATTTTTTCCATAGTAAGTTGTTGCCTAACAAGCCTATTTGCCTGTGGGGGTAGGGGCCATAGAGTGTGGCAGAAGAAAGCTCAGAGGATACCAACTGCTTTCTACTGTCTCCCAAGATAGGCTTATTTGCCCTGGTCTCCTTAGGAATTGTTTCCTCATCCCCCATAGCACTTCACCCAGACCTTTTTAAGGGCACATGGTAAGCTTCTTGAGAGATGAGATGGTGCTTAAGATATTAATCCTTTTAACTCTGAAACCTGATATAGGCATACACTAGAGAGGGTGCTCAGAAAATGCTTACAAAATTGACCAAAAGAGTGAAGACTGCTAGCCTCTTTTAGTTCTCATCTCAGAAACATAGGCAAACGTTTGCTTCACCCCACTTGGGTCTTGTTTTGAGAAGCAGGGCATAGAAAAAGGTTCCCTTCAGTGTGGGTCTCGGGAGCTAATCAAATCTTCAGCTGCCCCAAAAGTACTTCAGCCCCAAACAGCAAACCCCACTTGATTTCAGATAGTTTCCCTTTAAAAAAGAAAAAATAAATAAATAAATAAAAGTATTGTTTTTTAACTGAATCTGGAATCAAAAGTTTCAGGTTGAGTTCAAGGGGCTATTTTGTTTTTCATATCAGCTGTTAACAGAGTTACTGTTTGTAGCCAGGGAGCCATTGTGAATTGGGAACTTGTGACTTTTGGAATTCTCCTATAAAATATTAAAAACAAACCAACAAAACCTGGGGTAAGTCCCTTAGTATCCAGGTCGTGAGGTTCCTGGGGCCCAGGCATGGGACAGTTAGATAATTTCTGGCCACCTGATTGCACCCCATGGGTTAGGGCAGGCAGGGAATAGGGTGAGCTTTCATTTCCTGACTGCTCATGGCAATTCTTTCCTTAACTTTTTGCTCCTAAGAGGTGGTCTGCCCTCTCCAAGATCTTTTTTTCTGATAAATATATTTCTCTCTTTACAGTCATGCTGGGATACTGGAGGTCATAACACTTCATGATTTTGGGGTTTCAGACTCCAGATGAGACTAAGGAGTTTCTGTAATTAACAAGGATGTCCCTAACATTATCCATAGACCAGAGTGAAGAAGTATGTGTGTGTGGTGAGGGGAAGAATTTCTAAACTGTTACACATTTTTATTTTTTATTTTTTCCATTTATTTTTATTAGTTGGAGGCTAATTACTTTACATCATTACAGTAGTTTTTGTTATACATTGTCATGAATCAGCCTAAACTGTTACACATTTTGTAAAGGGGTCTGGAACCTCAAAAATGTAGGGAACCCCTGTCCTGGGTTCATTTTTGACACTCAGTGCACAGTATCAGCCTCCAGAGTATAGAGTCCTCAGAGATGAACTTTGGCATCCCTGAAGCCAGCTCTGCCATCAGACTCATCATTGGCACCTAGTTACCTGGAAGAAGCCTTCAGGGGAGCTGCATTTCTATAGCACTTTTGGATTATGCATGTTTGAACTTCCTTCAAATAAAACCTAGGCTTTTTTAGTAACCAAGTTTAATTTTAGACTGTCAGTGTCACTGAAAGTGAAGCTAAGTAGATTCTGAAAAGTGAGATACTTGGAGCATGTGTAGTGTTTTGCCAGTTGGTAAAGAGTCTTTTAGATAAGCCTGTCCTGCGAATGAGTCATCTCACCTGGCCCATGACAGAATTGTGGTGTGTTGAGGGCTGTCCCGTCTCTTCTGAAAGCCACCCTGAGTGCCCACTGGAAAGAGCGCCCTGGGGGCTTTGCAGCAGTTTGTGTGTCTTGTCTGAGGTTTTTGCATGTAATAGAGGTTGGCAAACATTAAGCACCATTGCCAGCCCAGAGACAAAAAAAACAAACGAAGAACCTTGATGTTGAGCCATGCACTTGCAAAGGTCAGTTACGGTTCTGCCCAGACTTGATTCTTAGCTCTAAGAGTTTTAGTTGGGTTTTGAAGCTAGCTGCCAAGTGGAAATGAATCGCCTGGCATCATTGGTATCCAGAGACTGGATAGTGAAGATTACTTAGAGATGTAAGTTCTTTAAAGATTAAAAGAAATACTTTATGGCTATTTGGCACTTTTAAGGCCAGTAAACCTGAGGTCTGTCCAGCTTTTTTTTTTAAGGAGGGGGCAGTGTGGGCAAATCTGATAAAAGAAATGAGCATGGGACTCTGACAGGTGGTATTTGTCAAGACAGTTGCAGTGTATGATTTTTCTTTGAAAAAAAGGGGATTCACACACAAATATATTGAACAATCTGAATTATCTAATGGCCCTCCCAAGGTACCTACCAGCAGAACTTTGTGATCGACCACTTCACCCATTAATGAGCAATAATTTATCAAGTGCAGCAGCTCACTCAGGAATGGTGTTGTTACTGAGACTGTTTATATTATTTCCAAGGCATTGTCTTAAGGAGAAAAAGCAGTGATTGACTAGGAAGTTATCCTTATTGGCCAAAGAAAGAATCTATCCACTTAATAACTCCATTTTTCCTGAGAACATTTTTATCCAAGAGGGAAAATGGTGGTATGGAAAGTGACTAAATATGAAATGTGTAAGAGAAGTTAGAAAAGTGTGCTTGCCTTTCTAAGAATTTCTCTTGTACATTATATCCAGTCTTGTACATTATATCCAGTCTTGGCAAGCTCTAAAGTAATGGAGCAGCCACTCCACTGATGGGAGATGTGATTCTAGTAAGATGGAAAGTATTTGTGAGTATTAAAAATTTTTTTTTTCAGCCTGCCAGAGTAGTTAAATCAGGTTTTGTCCTGGATCCTAAGATAAATGCTCTGTGGAGCTACCTTTCTTTTTCCCTTTATCCACAGAAATAGAACCAGCCAGAAGAGCTGTGTCTGACCCTACGGGCCAGTCTGTTGCCTGGTGCCCAGCATGAGTGAATCACCTACCAACACTAGTGTCAAAGACCAGATTTGAAACAGCCAAAGCCAGGGGCAGCTCTGCTGCTGCTGTAGTCTTGGTCTGTCCCATTGGAAATTGAAGAGGAGAGGGCTTATGGGATTCTCTTTCCCTTTGGAATAAACATGGTTTCTTTAGGTGATAACTGCATTCTCCTCAAAGGAGAAAGACCTCTTATATTTTGCTCTTGCTGAGGAATTTTGCTTCTTCACTTCTCAAAGACTGATATGACAGGGTTATGCCAGGAAATACCTTGAAAACTGATTGCTAAAAAGACTCTGTGATTGACTCACTTGCACTGCTAAATGTTAAGGAAATCCATTCAGATAGGTGACAGCCAAAATGATTTCTTTACACCCTGCTTAAAAGTTGTCTAAAGCCAAGTTTAAATTTACCAAAGGTGCTAGAAAGTACCCAGAAAGAATGTATCTGCTTCAGTTCACCACTATTTGAAGACATGTGTTTACAGTTTCTAGTAGTGTGAAATTCAGAAACACATAACCTTTACATCTTCTAAATATCCTGAGTCAATGTGAAATGTTGTGAATTACTACCTGGATTCAACTGATTTCAATTTAGAATAAAGGGTTTGTGTGATTCTGTTTTTAAGCCTTCATTGCAGAGCATGCCATGGAAAAAGTTATTTTTTAAGTATTTCTGTTACCACTGTAAATTGTGAACATGAACAGATCACAGGTGACAAAACAAAAAATCTGGCTTCCAAATGGATGGTATGGTCAGTTTTTTGCTCTATCTTCTGTATATAGTAAAATCTTAATAATTTCTGAGTCTGCCTACATACATACCATCTGGGTAGAACATAAAATTTGTATCACTGCTGTATTTTTACTTATGAATTTGATTCATTAGACTACGTGGCTACTAACTTTTTCTTTTTTTCCCTAGCATCAAAGCTAAGGCAGAAGATTCATCACACTTTCATCATTAGTCACAGGCTTGGAAAGGAGGCTGGCATGAATGCAACATTGACCTCAGCGGCCTCTTAAGACTCTTGGTATTAACAACATGTAGGAAAGAGGCAATTGGAATGAAAGGGAATCTTGTCTGGATTGGCATTTTTGAAGTTCTCATTTTTCTAGTAGCTATCATTGTAAAAGTATGCATGGGTATTTATGTATTTATAAATCATGCCCTCTTATTTTTGTTGGTCAAAATGTTTAAAATGCCTATTTTTTTTTATGTTGATGTAATAATGGCAGGTAATGAATTATATACACTTTGGATTTTTCAACAGTGTACCTTTAAGTGTGATTTTGCTTATAGTCTTTTTTCTCTGCTGACTGAGGCAAATCATATCCCTTATTTCTAGCTGAAGTTTATACCATCCATATACCGTTTCCACACACATTTCACCTTTTTTAGAGATGAGTGAAAATCAAAATCATAGGGCTTCAGGTTATCTACCAGCTCATAGAGGCAGCCTTATTAAAAAAAAACAAAACAAAAAAAACCCTCATTGAAACAAGATTCCACAGCTTGGTCTCTGTAAGGCCTTCCAGGCTGGTGAGTAAAAAGCCCATATTCTTTCTTCCTGGAGGGAGCCTGAGGTTTGGTTTTCTAGACTTGAGGAATTGCCTTGTACAGTCCCTCAAGAAATACTTATTTAGTGCAGTGCTGCTTTGCTCTGAAGTTCTCATTAATTTCCCTCTTTCAGTTGATTTATGTTTCTTACCCCTGCCCCGTTCCTCTTTCTTATTTAGTACCCACTCTTACATGCTTATCTCTAGGCATAAATACCGAGGACTTGACGTAGGGACAGCAGCATAACAGTCAGTCACGGCAGGATTCCCTTATCACTGTGCTTGGTACTGGGGATAGTGGCAAGATATGATAGGGGCCTGCCTGAGCGTAATCTGCTGGTGAACTCAGGACACTGAAGTGTTAAAGAGGAGAGTGACTGGGAGCCTGGTGCCTGGAAGCAGAGAAGGGGGACGACTCTCACCCATGATTTGAGGCTGAGGCCAAATAGCACACCACATCTCTGTGCAGCTTCCAGCTCTGATCTGTAGTGACCACTAGGGTGGGCCAAGTGAAGACCCTGGGACCTCTGACAAGTCACTTCTCTCCTGTGGCCTTTCCTGGAAAATAATCATCATAGAAATAGCTACCATAAAGACCTGTGACAAGGATTAAGATTAAGAGCCAGTTAGCCCCGGCCTCTACAAGATATAATTCCCCAATAAAATTGTCAATAATAGTATCCTATCAGGAGCACATCCATTGCAAATTCAGCTCATTTTTGGAGACTTCGCCAGTTAATCAAATTTTCTGATGTCATTTTCTAGTGGATTTTCTCTCATTATTTCCTCAGCTTAAACTGCCTTTAAAAAAAAAACACTTTATTTTAGAACAATTTACAGGAAGTCTTGTAAAAATAGTTTATAGAGTTCCTGTATGCTCTGCAGTTTCTCCTATTATTAGCATCTTACATTTGTATGATACATTTGTTATCATTAACAAGCCAATATTGATACACGCTTAACTAATGTCCATGCTTCACTGAGACTTCTTTTTCACTTGATATCCTTTTTCTGTTTCAAGATCCCATTACTCTCCCCAGGATAAGCTGCCTGTTTTTCATCTTACCTTTACCTCTGGCTATATCCCCTATAAAATTAATCAGTATTTTAGACTTTTATCCTTTGTTTTACTTGGAATAGAAAGTGGCATAGAAATCTAAAATTCTGCATTGCAGCACTCCTTGTAGTATAAGTAAAATGGCCCACTTTTAGATTTGAAACAGGTGCTCACAGGTAAGATACAAGCTGCAAGCTACTGGTCTCCTCATATATAGAGTCTTGCCCACAAAATGGAGAGGATCAAGTGAGATTATACAAAGGGACATGGTAAAGTATTCAAGTAATGACTAGGAGAGGTTCTCATCTGTTAAAGACATAAGTTTCAAGACCTTTTGAGAAGCAACTACAATTGACAGAGGAACAACCCATGGATTCAATCAACTGCAGATCATGGAGTACTGCAGGTCCTTGTTTATTGGTAACAGTTTATGCATAAGTGGACTGTGCAATTCAGACGTGTGTTTGGGTCATTTATACCAACTGTACAGTTTAGGGTGCTCAGTTAATAGTGATGCCCTTTCACGTTATCCAGAAAATTGCTTTGTGAAACATTCCTCGGAGTCGGGCCCACCTGATCAATCCCCTTCTTCCTGTGCACAGGCAAGGATTCCCGCTAAGCTTTTCCAGGATCCACTTGGATCTGTGGCTTACCTATTCTATGGGCACTAGGTGGAATCACATTAACTGTCACTGCCCATCCTCTGTTGCTCTGGTATCTGTAGTAAATGAGTGTGAAAATACACATTGTGGTATCTGACATGAGATATATTACTGTGCTTCCCAACTGTCCAGCTTTTAAGTCTCTGCTTGGGTACCCTTATGTCTGGAAGGAGACTGAAAGTCATCTTGTCATATAGCCCTGTCTCTCATTCTTGACTAGGTTAGGGACACCTTTCAGTTAGTAATAAGAATAAACAATCCTTAAGAGGCAAGAATTTTAGTACTTAAAAGGTTTGTGATCATATGGAAAAAGCTTCCTTCAATAAACAAATACATGCTGAAAAAAACAACAAAAGAAAAACCTGCCCTCATGGATAGTATACACACACACTCCCTAAGAAACAGAACCTTACCTGGCTTGTTTTTCATTAAAATCAATAAATAGCCAGAGAACCTATTTATTTAAATGAAAAGCAAGCCAAGCAAGTTGTTTCTTTCCCAAAGTTTACTCTGTCTCTTAAAGTTAAGACTCCTGGGGCAAGGCACAGCAATATTTCACTGCCTTTCTCATTTTGGTTTGGAAGGCTTTTTCACACTGCCAGCAGTAGAGACAGAGTTTTTCGCATGTGCTCCTACCTGAGATGGAGGTGGGCCTGAAGCCTTGCTCACAGATGAGAGTTCCAGCTGAGGAGATGGAGTAACAAGACTACATCATGTATACAGATTCCCTTGGAAATCAGAGACTAAACTTGAGACTATTAAGAGTGCCTGTTAGGTGGAGCAAATTCTTACCTGTTCTAGACCTTGGCATGTGAACCAGTTTTTTCCCCTTGACATGCTGTCAGACAAGGATGCCTCTTTAGAACATAATCCAGGCAGTCATAGCCCAAGTCCTATCCTTTCCCAACCAAGTAAAAGTAGGTTAGCAAACCAAAAATATCCTTGAATAAGGCCCTTCAACCTATTTCCCTGGGAGAAAGATGCTGTTAGGAGCCTGAGACAGGTCTTGGTCCACCTGTGATTTAGTGAAGGGGCAATTAACAGGAAAGTCATCCTTGGGCTGCATGGGCCTAGTGACTAAAGCCCTTGCTTTGATGTCAGTGGTAGTGCCAAAACCTCATGCTGCTAGGGCTGCGTTTTTCTTTCCCTTTGACACTTTCATTAAGAATGTTTAATTATCCCTAGTAGTTGTGGACTGGTAGTAATTCCTTCCTCTCGAGTTCCTCGGTGTTAGGATGATTCCTACTTTAATTGGAGGATTCCATAGAAAAACTGTATTAGTACCTGGCCCTTAGTGAGCTCCCACTGCTTCATTTCTGCCTTTTCCTTTGAGGCCCTGGTGGGAAGATACGAAATGTTTCAACTAAAATTTACGGAAGATAAAAATAAACACCCATAATCACCCCTCCATGCCAGGCTTCATCCCCAAAGTTGCAAAAGGGTGGACCTAACATGCGACCTAGCACTCATTAGGTGCCAGCATTATCAGCAGACATGTTGACATAACAAATAGCAGCAGGCATTGAACAGTACAGCACAAATACTGTGCTGTTCTGGATAGTGGGCAGAAGCAGGATGGGAGGAAAGGGGTCAGCACATGGCCAGCCTTGGAATCCCTACATCTAGGGGTCAGGGGCTTATAAAGGCTGTGAACATGCTCCTTTCTCCATGAATGTGGACTTTGCCCTAGTAGGCAAGCAGACGTCTTGCCCTAGAGTATCACACGGTAAATTGCCTAGATTCCTTATTACTCTTGGGTGTGAATTTTGGGCCTCAGACAACTGGAAAAATTTGGTCTTAGACCAACACCTACAGTCCTCACTTCCCCTTAAGCCAGCTGTTTTCAGCTTCTCAGGTGGCGAGAATGACTCATGCTTCCTTCTACCTTTGTGCTTACTGAATTATTTTTTTATGACAATGTTCTACTTTTGTAACAAAAAACAAAGCCGCTAATTAAAAAGTGTTCCCAGGGGATTCACAGCATGGACCCTGGAGGTTCACTGCTGTCCTGTTGGCCTGCCCAGGCCTTGTGCACCTACTGTCCGAGTTATCTGGAAAGCAGTTCCGAGTATTTAGCTCCACTCTATGGTACTTATATTATGGCTCAGCCTGATACCTCAAACAAAGTCTTGAGAGGGTGCCATGGTGATTGTGGTCTGTCCTCAAGCTCCCTTGTAAGGCCCAGCCCCTGTCAAGGAACCAAGCTGTAAGGGCTAACAAAAGCTAGAAAGGAAACTTTCTTCCTAACAGATGGTATCATCCACTCACCACCAGGCCCCAGGACTGCCCTCACCTGTATTTCTGACTTGCAAAAAATTTCCTGTACCCAACCCCTGGGATTGTCTTCTAAAGGCAGTTTTCCAGCTGATATTCCAGAATCTCCACCTGAAACCACAGCCTTATGTGCTCATGCAGGTGCAGTCACTAAATACAGCAAGGTCACTAGAGTTTTCTTTGGAGGCCATATCCTAAGCCTTTAGCCAAAGCTTAAGATACAGGCTGAAGTCTCTGGATTCTTTCCTCTTCTCTGCCCAAGATGGTTATCTGAACAAGAAGCTTCCTGTTGTCTTTGTATTACCAACACAAAAGCAGAAAATCTCCCAACTCACGTTTTGTAGGATGACTTTACACAGAGGCTAGCCAAAGAGCTGCACTCTCTGCATCTGCATTCTTCTGTTCTAGAGTGCCACTAGTCCAATTCAGCTGGTGGGCTGCAGGATTCTTGGCATAAGGCCTTCTTTGTAAAGGGGAAAGCTCAAGGGGGGGCTTCAGATAGGAAGAAGCATTAAGAAGTCTACCTGAAGTGCGCTATGTTTGCACTCTGGCAGCGTTCAGCACACCACAGATGCTCTCCTGCATTCTAGGAAGAATGACAACTAAAGTAGATCAGGCTGATGAGTGGATCCTTTGAGAGAGAGGCTCTGGTCTCCTCTAGATGAAATTCCTAACCCAGTGGTACATTAAAGATCCCAGTCTTCCAGGTAAGACTTTAGATCAGTTATAATATCCTCCCAAAACACTACAGAAGCATCACACTTGTAACCAAACCAAGACCATCACCATATTAAAGACCTCTCTAGCTAAAAGGTTATTTCCTTTTACTCAGCAGAGGACACACTATTTAGTCTTCCCAAACACATAATTCCAGAAGTCACTGGTAAACAAAAGCATCGTGTGGCCAAGCTTTAGCCCTACATCAATGGCAGAGTTCCTGACAGTCTATGCAGGCTTCTAACCCAAGGCTGAGTCCCCCATGTGCCAGAGAGGAAGCTTGGAGCCTTTCTTTCCAGGGCTCTTGATTTCAACCAGCTAATGTTGCTGAGCTAAGATTTGCAAAGGGTGCATCTTATTCAGCTTTTGGGCCCAACTAAAAGAAAGCCCAGTCCAGGCTATGAACAGGAAACTCAGAACAGCACACACATCTGTGTATTTTTTCAAAGGATAAACTCAATTCTTTCAAACAAAATTTTGTTTCTAATATATCTTTGTGCTCTATATCATATACTAGAGCAACAAGATAACTAAAATTTCCCCTTATCAGACAATAGCTTAGTTTTTCCCTAACTAGACAGTAAATGGGGTGACAGGGCTACCATCTTTGCACAAGCCCCCTGCCCTATGGACAGTTTAACAGCTTTCCACCTATTGACTTTTCTATTTACATACATAATCCCCACATACCAAGTTCCTTTGGGACTCGGCAATGCTGAATGCAGCAGAAAGGAATTGTAATAAACACTGCCGAAACCTAAAAATTTTCTCTCTTAAAACCTGGAAGAATTGAGAGATCAAAACATCTCATAACGTAACTGTGCTTTGAACACCAGGCTTCTCTTTTTAAAAGAGTACTAAATGAATAAATTAAGACAGGTACCTTGTTTACTTGGCATACAACAGACTATTAACTAAATAAGCCACCTTCAGTAACTTTCTTCACTACCTTCACCAACATGAAAAAATTTTTAG